TTATCACCTACTTGAAATTCCAAAGGTCGACGCCTTCTATCCGCATAACTCTTTTGTCTATCTTGTGCAACCTTTAACCTCTCCCTGATCTGTACTATTTTATCAGATGTCTGTTGGACTAACTCGGGTCCAACTAGTTGTCTTTCTCTAATGTCTGCCCAACAAATTGGAGTTCTACACTTACGGCCATATAATGCTTCAAATGGTGCCGCCTTGATGCTCGAGTGGTAACTATTGTTATAAACAAATTCTATCAATGGGAGGTGGTTGTCCCAACTACCTCCAAAGTCAATCACACAAGCTCTCAACATATCTTCTAGTGTTTGTATTGTCCTCTCACTCTGGCCATCAGTTTGAGGATGATATGCAGTACTCATGTTCAACCGTGTTCCCATTTCTTGTTGAAAACTTGACCAAAACCTCGAAATAAACCTAGCATCTTTATCTGAGACAATGGATATCGGTACACCATGTCTCGACACGATCTCATTGACGTAAAGTTGGGCCAATCTTTCTAATGTATACTTGTCGCTGATCGGTAAGAAGTGAACAGATTTCGTTAGTCGATCCACAATTACCCATATGGCGTCGTGTCCCTTTACCGTCCTTGGAAGTTTGGTGACAAAATCCATCGTGATCATATCCCACTTCCATACTGGGATCTCCATTTGTTGCAACATTCCAGACGGCCTTTGATGCTCGGTCTTCACTTTCAAGCACGTCAAACATTTCCCCACATAGCTAGCTACTGCCTTTTTCATACCAGGCCACCAATAGCTTTCTTTTATGTTCTTGTACATCTTATTACTACCTGGATGCATAGTATATTTGGACTTATGTGCTTTATCCATCACTACATTTCTTAGGTCCCCCAAACTAGGAATCCAAACCCTATTCCCATGTCTATATATTCCATCTGGTCCTGCTGTCCAAGTCTTAATTTGTCCAATCATTCTCTCCTTTTTGATGTTCGTTTCGAGTAAATGTAACGCCCCAACCCACATATATTGCATGTAACACATATTTCATACAAAAGAAATACATATTCATATACATCTGGGTCCCTTAGTACAAGAATACTATCATGACCAATACAAGGTCCAAAAATTCAAAATACAATCTTGTACTAATCATCAAAACTATGCATCAAAAGCAATTCTTCAACCAAAATGCACGTAAGAAAAACATTACATCTTTTCCTTTCCCTTACCTTCAACATGTCCTGCAATACATATTTAAAATGACGAAAACGAGGGTTAGACTGAAGAGTCTAGTGAGATACCCTATTCATGTTATTGCAGGGTGAATGATCACCAAAACCTTTATAAAATCAATTATTCATATAAGTAACAAATATATGAATACGCAAGAAGGTAATACCAATTCATTTTCCACATTCAAGCTAACCACGTAGCTATACAAATTCCATACCTTTGAACCAATCGGGTTCCATTTAATACCATTTTAAACCTTTTCTTTTTCAATTAAGGTTTAAACAAAGATTCAGGCCAAACCTGATGTTTCCTTCTCAATAACATCTAGACTATGATTTCCAATAAGAACCTTGATCATAAATCTTTAAATCACAAAGAAATAAAGATTCCAGATCACGGTAGTCTTAAGGGATATAATAGAAAGAGTTATATAATACCACACACAGACAATGCCATCCTTATAACAAATGGACACCTCTCCTTGATATGCCACCCTTATATCAAATGGACAACTCTCCTTGATATGCCACCTTTATCACTTCATCAAAACATTTATAAAAATAATTCCGAATAGACCGCAGCCATTGGAATTGATATCAGTCCAAAATCATTTATATCAAAACTTCATTTTATGATAAAATAACAATTTTCATCAAACACAAAATACACTCAAATCCGGTCAACCATGACTTAACCGGATTCCATCTCCGGTCAACAAATCCGGTCAACAACCGTCCGGTTTAATCACTTAGAATTAAAAATCCACTCTGTCCGGATATCAAATCCGGTCAACACACTACACATGCTTTGGACGGTTTAACACTTAAAAACAAAATTCATA